GTGGCCTTGGCTGCTCTGACCACAGAGCTCTGCTTTAACTAACTGCAGATTGTCCACAGGCTACATCCTGACAGTTTTTCTACCTGGTCTTGGAAAATGTGAATTTTGCTAACACAATGACACGCTAAAGGTGTTTATAGCCTTTGTGAGACAGGATTCCACACTCCCCAAGTCTATGAGAAGCATGTCATAAATTTTTAAGCCCTGGTGAAAACAGAAAAAAAAAAAAGAGGAAAGAATTTCACTAAGAATACACAAATTCTCAGGGAGATATAAGACACATTTATAACTAATTTAGGAACACAATAACCTATTTTAAAACTAGATACTATACTCTTGTTTCTCTTCAGATGGAATAAATTTTTCGCCTTTTAAAACTAGATGCTGCCTGGTTTTAGTTCTGTTTGTTTGCTGTTTGAGGGGCAATATGAGCAATAGGGTTAAGATTTGGCTCCTGGGGCACTGGGCGGGGCAAGGAGCTCTGTAGAATCCAAAGTGTATGAGGCTGAGCTTGGCTCACAGGGCAGCTCAGGTAAAGCCAGGCAGGGTCCCCACCTTCCTGCCTTCTCTGTTGCCCTAGTCCAGTGGCGGCCAATGTATGGCACTCGTGCTGCAGCCAGCTGTTTGTTATCATTGAAAGCTCTAAAAGGTTCGCCATTACTGCCCTAGTCCATGTCTTGGTCCCTGTTTAGTCTCTCTTAATTGGTCAAAGAGAGCTGACTAAAATATTTTATGTATTTGTTTTATTTATTGAATAGTTTTTGTGTTTTCTGCTTATACAAAAGTAGACAGGTGGATGAAGTGTTTTCTATTCATCTAGAAAACAAACATATAGTAGTTTTTAAATATTACATTTGATGGACTCCTACCACTGTCCCCCAAAATCAGAAATTAGGGCCCCCCCATAGAATAAAAGCCTCCCCACCCCAACCTTTGCCAGGGCTCCTAGCCTGGAGCAGGAGGTCCTGTGGCCACTGCTGATGTGTGGGTGAGGGCGAGAAGCATGATGGCAGGAGCATGCGGGGCATGGGTACGGTCAGGGTGGGTGGAATGGAGACCACAGTCAGCAGCCGCCCATCATGTGGCACCAGGCCTTTCCACCACTCTCTACCTTTGACCTGCCCCCTCCCAAAAGAACTACTCTCCAGAACCTGAGCTCTCCTGGGGTGTTGCTCCTCCAAACCTTTTGCCTGTGCACATCCTCCTGCCTGGCATGCCTTGGCCACCTCTGTTAACCTGGTCAACACCTACCCATATGCTGAAGTCCTTCCTTATCCACAGAACCAGCTAGAATGGATTCCTCCTTCCTGCCTCACAGTGATTAGAGGTGGGATTTTAGTCATCTTGGTTTCCCAGCACAGTGCTGGGCAAACAATAGGTATCCATGCAACACATGTTGGAAAAATGAAGAATATAAAATCTTTTGATCCCAACTTTATCAGAAAGATAACAAAGTGGGCCAATTTGGCCTTATCTCTGAGGCTCTCCCACAGTTCCCCCACTTTTGCCTCTGCACATCTGCTTACTGGCCTGTAGCCCTGCATGCTCTACACAGCCACATCCCACCAACCTCCACAGCGCCCCCTGCAGGAAGCTTTCCACGACTCCGGTAGGAAGAAACCCGTCCACCTGAGCTTTCAGCCACTTGAGCTGCTGTGACCTTATCTAGGCCTCTTTTATGGCTGTTTTAGCAACCCCAACCCCCATGTTAGACACGCAGATGATCATAGGCCCCATAACCCACACAGCGAGCCAGCCCCTTCGGGAGGAACCTCCAAAACAACTGTGGACTCAATCAGCAAGTGAAGGCATCTCAGCCAGAACCAACGCTGCTGTGGGTCCCAGGGAGGGGGAGAGTCAGAGCCCAGCCTCCCAGCACAGCAAGGCAGGGCGGGGCACAGGCAGTCACTCATCCGGCGGCATGGGATCAAAACGTTACACTACCTTGTTGGCCAGTGTGACTCCCGGTGCATCTTCGCCTTTCCCAACACTTAGCTCTGACTGCTTGCAATTAGTATCTGAGAGGCAATCTAAAAGAGTCAAGCTGCATTACGGAGAACCCCAGGAAAACTGCAGGGCACAGCTCATCTTGTGGAGAGCAGCTCAAATGCCAAAGGTTGGTTCCTTCACCTACTCAGCTGGGCCTCACCAAGGAAATAAGATCAAGAAAGTGGTGTTCGTCTTTAGCATTTATTTATAATTGGAAAAAAACTGTTTGTTTGTTTGTTTTCTGAGCAAGCACAGACCACAAGCACGTCACAATCAATTGGCTATACATGAATATGTTTGTCATTCTCTTACTAACAGCAGGAATGAAATAGCACCAAGAGAGGTGTGCGCTACATGTTACAATAGACAATCTGTGGTATGCAACGAAACCCAGGCCACAAAATTGTGATTAGACACTTTCTGTCTGCCTCAGTGAGGCCCAGCCATATGGGCAGGATGGGGGCCCAGGCAGAGAACAGGAAGCTGGGGGAAGCCAGGGCACAGCTTTGGGGGAATCTTTGCAGGCAGGCCAAGCAGACAATGGGAAAGTCTCCATCCTGTCCCTCTTGCCAGGAGAGTACAGAGAATTACAGGGCAATGTACAGAAGGGGCGGGACAGGCATTGAAGCCTGGTCACCTTGAGAAAGGCAGGGCCAAGCACTGCTTAAGGAACCAAGGTCAGTCTCATTCTGTCTGCTTGGTATGCAGAACAAGACTGGCTGAGTTATATTTGTAAACAGTAGAAATCAAAGGAAATTTCTGGTTAGTGAACTGACACATTCAAGAGTCAAAGTGAACTGCAAAGAAGAGTTTTTCTGAGGTGGATGTGTGAAAAAGAAGGGAGAACTGACAGGATGAATAAGACATCGTACAGATCATCTACAAGCTTAAACAAAGCAGGATAAGAAATCCAGTCTCTGAGGCTGTAAAGTGGGTGGGAAACATATGGGGCTTTAGGAAACTATAATAGACAATACCAGCTCGACTCCGTCACGGTGCACATGGGATTGTCATATGCATCCTTCTGGCTGTGTTTCTGTGGGGACATATTTATTTATACTGCCCACCAAGTCTAGCACAGTGCCTGGCTTAAGGCATTCAATACATGGATGCTGGCTGGATGATCCCATTGTAAACTCTGACTTACTTGGTCTGCAAAACATGATAATTCTATGGAGAAATTCAAGTTTTGGCTGACATCAACACGTTTGACTAATCCTGAATTTTGAGAGAATGATTATACACTGGCAAATTCTTTGGATGTAGTTCAGTCATGTTGATAGAGTTTTCTGGTAAATGCTAAGATTAGCTAACAATTAGAAACAGTACTGAGATCTATGCTAGGTGTTTCCAGATAGGGATTCAAAATTTGTCATTTATGAGCACCGAGACCTGCTAACACTTTCCACCTTCTTCAGCCGCGTCCTTCCTCTTAGCCTGTTTGCTTAGATGGAAAGGAAGGAGGCATTGAGCCTGGTCATGCCCTTCGTTGTTAGTCTTCCTGTTCTGTTAAAACCTGTGTGGCACATACTGAGTTAATTTGCAAAGACTTCTCAACCAGCCACAAAGTGACAAAACAAATTAGCATAAATTGACACTGCTGCCTGGACAGTGAGAATGAGAGAGCTTGTGGAGCTCTGCCTCCTTCAAACCAGAAGGGCCTGAAGGGACCTCTGAGGTAGGGAACTGAGGCCCTCAGTCTTCACCACTTTTATGATAAAAGAAAGCAAGCCTGAGCAGAGGCTGGACTTCATACAACAGCTCAGCCATTCAGAATGCTGGAGGAGATAAGGACTTCAAGGACAGGCAAAACAAAGCGTGCTGAGCAATCTACACCTCACCTTTGAAAATTTGACATTTTTGATAGACATTTTGTGCTCCCTCACAAACACTGGGGATCTTTTCACAACAACTCCTTGACTAATTCCTATATAACACAACTGTAGCACAGCTAAGGTGGCACTTGCCTCCCCTGGGGCGTTTTGGCCACACAGATGCACAACAAAGAATACATTGAGAACTGCTGTTATTTGTCAATGAAGTAAAAAAGCTTGCTAGTCACTTTGCAGGGCCCTCTCTCACCTGTAGCTATGTCACAGAGACACTGACCTGGAGCCTAGCACCACTGGCCTCTCAGTGAGGCAGAGCATCGCCACACTTGCCATTACATCTCTGTCCTACCTTGGCTTCTCAAGAATGGAAAGTCACACTAAGTACCCTATCTCTACACTGTGACTTTTCCTCCTCAGACAACATGCTGAGGGTAGACAGAGGAGCACAGTCTCCAGGCTGGGACCACCCTCTGACATCTGTAATACCTAAATCACCTACCCTTTCACCACCCTGGCCTGTTCTCAGTCACCAGTGGCCTATCTGTTACTTGGTATACAATTTAAAGCCCATTGATAGGAAACAAAACACAGACACACACTTCTAGTAGAAGATTCTAAGATTACTTAAAAGTTAACAGATACAAGTACATTTTGTTGACATTAAGGCCAAAGTTGTTTTTTCTTTTAATATTTCCACAAAGGTTGTCAACTGCTGAAGCCCACGCTAAGCTTCCACAGCACATATTCATCCTCTGAACTTTGGGAAAGAATGTTTACCTAAAGCTCAAAATCAAAAAGGAACACAACCTTGGGAGGAGCAGGGGAGAAGACCCTACAGTAGAGACTTCCAGGCTCTACCAGGAGGTGCGCTTGGCACCAGCTGGGGCCTACCAGGGAGGGCACAGCCAGCAGGGGATGCTTCCTGGTGTCCCAGGGGCCCTGCAGCTGGAGCTGGGCCACCGTCAGGAGGAGGCAAGCCACTCAGTCTGTATCCTGAATCTCAGGATTTGTCCACCAAAAGAATCCAAACCGAAGAGCTCCTGGAACACTCAGGACCAAGGCAGAGGGAAAGTCTCTAATAATTTTGTGGCCTTTTTTTGTTTGTGGTTAGGAGAGAGAGAGAGAGAGAGAGAGAGAGAGAGAGAGAGAGAGATAAAAGGAAAGTGCAGTGACATTTACTCTTTAGCCTCAGCCAGTTTATTGTTCATCTCTTTACTTTGCTCCTTGTCATCAGGTTTGGTGGCACTGGGGCCCTCTGTGCTCTTTTTCTTGGCAGCCTGGCCCGACACCACCTGCTTGTCTTTGGCCTTCCTCGGGGGCTTATGGGTCGCTGAGGTCTTTTTTGGTTTGGAACTCTGAACACTAGGTTTCTCCACCTGCACGGAGAGACAGACAGATAGACCAAAAATACAGAAACACAAAAGGGAGGAAGGGGAGAGAGGATTTAGAGAAAGGACATTACAGTGTTAATGGAAGAGTAACAGCAGTGATGCAGATTGACACCGATGGGGTACAGTGTGGAAAGTATTTTCAGGGACATTTGGGCACCTGTGTTCTCCTGTCTGAACTCCCATTTAGTCTTTTGGACAACATTCTTTACTACTGCCACACAGGCCCTCTGCCCTGTCTGCCCTTCCCCCTGGACCACCCCAGTGGCAAGCTCCATCACTATTCTGCAGTACCTGCTGTTCCCTCTGGGAAGATTACACCTCATCACTTCCCTCAGCTCATGCATAGGTTACGATTTGCTGTAGTCAATGAAATGGAAGAAGGGACATGGGTCACCTCCAGCCCCAAGATTCATGAGTCAGCCTGTGCTTCCCTTGTTCTCTCTCTTCTGCCCCAAAGGGACATGTCCTGGCTGCAGGCAACAAAGGGCAGAGCTGTGCACAGGTGCACAGGTGTTCCTGGGAGATGACTCTGGTTGATGCCAGATGGCTTACTGCTGCCCCCAGCCAGCCTCTCCGTTTCTGTCTCTGGGATAGTGAACACATATGGAGAAGAGTCCTCTCTGAGATGCTCTGGGCCTGCACCTCTCAACCTCAGTTGGCCACAGGCACTGCCAACCAGGCAGGCCTGGGTGGCTGCCTTGCTGTTCCCCAGAGCAGCTATTCCAAGCCCTCTCCATTTCCTCAGGCTCCCTCCTCAGCTCTGCCTCCCCATCCTGAGAAGATAGCCCTGCCTTCTCCTTCTCAGAGAACTCTGGAGCCCTTGGGCATGAAGCTGTGATATGCCACCCCTTCCACCCATCTCTAGATTTAATTTCCCCAATCTTTTTTCCTTTTCCCCCTGGAATCTTAATGCCAAGCCTATGTCCTGGGTCCCACCTTAGCTGTAGATGGACAGAACTGACATTGGACTTTCTCCCTTGTGCCATTCACTAAGGTAAAATAAGGTAACCAGTCATCCTGGTTTGCCTAGAACAGAGATGTTTTCTGGAACATGGAGCTTTCTGTGCTAAAACTTGAAGCAACCCAGGCAAACTGGGTCAGGTGGTTACCTTAGCTGCAAATGGGTTATGGCCTCATAGGAAACTCCACTTGAGAGCCAGGCTTTAGGGCAAAAGCACAGAAAAGGTCATCTAAGTTCTGGAGATATTTAGACTCTCAGGCATTTTCTACTATTACACATAGGACAGATAATATGTGCCTGATTCTTCATGGCCTGGCATCATAGAATAAGCTAGGCTCCTTGGGGGTATGATTCTGGCGTCACTGGCTCTATCTCCAACATGCTTCTCCTGCTCATGAACTCATACTGAAATGCAAATAAGGCAGGGCAGTGTTATTATGACTAAGCCCCTGAATCCACTTTCACAAACTGTCTACTTGAGTAACAAATGACTGGGAATACACCTTGCAGCTGATGGGACAGGTGTGTTGTGACAGGCTTGAGCCTTGCTGGCAGATGATGTTTATCTAGGAAGAATGAGTGAAAGTGAATGCCTTGTAGGGACTGAGGAGATGGGTGGGGTAGGGTGCAGTGGGTGGAGGAGGGAGCAGGCCAGGCCCAGTGGGAAGCAAATCAGGCAAGGGGACTTGCAACCCCCCTCCAGCCCTTCAGAGGCAGAAGCACAGCTATTTTAAGACAAGGGGATTTAGGGATCAGGTGAAGTTTTCTGCTATTCTTCTTCTGGATTCCTCAAATGCAAGAGCTAGTTCTTTGGAAATTTGCCAGCCCTCAAAAGCTGTCTTTATTTGAGCTAATGTTCCTAACACTTCTTTTGAATTTAACAAAGATCCCTCTGGAAGATGTCCCTGGATCTCAGGCTCAGTGTGCTGAAGTGGAAAGGAGCCCCTGGAGACTTGTCACAGGGGCCCAGCTCCCATGGTCTGCTGATCACCCTCCATCTAGGCTGTGCTAAGGGGTCCCCACAAGATCCATCTCACCTTTGGAGGTTCCTTGAAAGGTTCACTATAGAGGCTGCGTATTCTTCTGCGGTCAATGACCTTATTATCAGCTGCAGTTGGCTTACTGGCCTCCCCTTTGAACTGGGCGCTGTAGCTGGTCTCATGAACCATCTTGTCATCTGGGGGCTTGTACTGGGGCTTGGCTTTTATTGGTTTCACAGGCTTGATGTCCGTCCATGCTCTGAATTCATTCCTGTTAGTTAGAGAGAGAAAAAATTATCTGAAACGGTGGTATTCCTAACTCTGGGGTGCACACACAGCAAGCTCACCATCAGTGTTTGTGACATTGATTGATGTAAGGCTAGGGAGTTAGTGCCACTCTCATCACACAAGTGACAGTTCTCCCTCTTGCAAAGTGGACCCTGGTTATGCCAATAGCAGTAGAGCCTTGGAGAAAGTGTTTGGGCTCCCTCCCAGCTCTATACCTTATAATCATGGAGAGGCCATTCTCATCGCCAGGCTTCATTTTTCCCATCTCTAAAAAGAGGCTTAAAAACCCAGCCAAGCCTGGGCTGGGGATTTAGCTCAGTGGTTCGGCTGCCTGCCTCTCAAGCACAAGGTCCCAAGTTCAATCCCCAGTACCAAAAAAAAGAAAAATTCTAGTTGCAAAACCCAGCCAAGCTGGTCATTCATGAGTTCAATAAAGATTAGATGGTTCCTGCATGCAAGGATAAAGAGTTGTGAAAGTGGATAGGATAACATACCTGGTCACTGCCAGGTATATTGTGGCCTATCAATAAATGTCAATTCCTTTTCCCATTTTTCACAGTGAAGAAACATTATTCTCAAGGCTAATTCTTCCCTTTGAGTAGCAGAGGACTTACTTCTTATAGTGCAAGAACAACCTAATCACTTTAGGTGAAAGTCCTTGTGAGATGTCTAAATGTTTACAAACCTTAAGTAAGCAACATGTATTGAGCATCGCTTGGTACCACAACCAGAACTTGTGTTGGGGTACTTGCGTGTAGGAGAGTCTTCACATACTTTGGTGTGAATCAACCCTGCTCTGGTGCTTTTTTTGAGTCTTGTGTGTCGGTTTTCCTGTTCACAGCAATCTCTCTCCTGGTTTCTAATCAGCTGTTTCCAATCTGTCATAGGGCTGAAGAGTAGATGGCCAACAATGTTCAAAACAGGGCAAAATAAGTGTACTTGTTGCTGGAGGCCTAAAGGGCCTGTCCTGTTTAAACAAATGAGATTCAAAAACAAAAGCCCGAGGGGCTGGACATTTAGCTCAGTGGTTTTGCCGCCTGCCTCACAAGTGCAAGGTCCTGAGTTCGATCCCTGAGATAAAAAAAAAACACAAAACCCTGGGGCTCCCAAGGCCTTGGTCAGATCTGCTGTCCTCTGGTACCATGAAAAGCTATGCTATGAAAGGAGGAATTAGTGCAGGGGTCTCTGTGGAGTCAGATTCTTTGATCACCCAGGTCACCTTTACTAGCTCTTTCCTTCAGGGCTTAGCAATGAGGGCCACACACAAAGGGTAGAAAGAGTGTGGACTACATGGAGCCATGGTGTCTAAGTCGAGCACTATCTCTGGCTAGTGAGGAGCCTGTTTCCTTATGTGTATAATAAAACAGTTATGCTAGACAAGGTCCTTACTATGTCCTTCTAACTCCAGTGTACTCTTAGCTGACAAAGCCAGTTTGGTAAACTGAGCCACTTGATGGTCATTTGATCTCCTTCTCTCTAGATTTTTCTGGAGAGATTGGCTCCCATGTGGAGAGAGAGACCACATCTCTAAGAAACCCTCCCTAAGCTTCAAGCCCACCTGTCCAGGGCAGCCTGATTCTCCACGTAGATGCCACCAACACCTCCAACTCATTGTCCTTGGACCGAAGGCACAAATCTTCTCTGCCAGCTTGTCTCCTAGATTCTCTGCTTGTTTGGGTTAACCCATCCATTCATTCACAAACTGTTTCTTGAGTGTTTGGGGTCTTCCTGACAGAACACTGAGCACCTTGGTGCATGTAGGACCCTGAGCTCCGGGTGCGGGAAGCAGAGGGATCTGGATCACTCCAGGGCAAAATGGGGAGAACTATGAAGGAGGAGGGAGAGGGAAACACAGAAGAGGAGCTTCTATCCCAGCTTGGTTTCTGGAGTGGTCAGAATGGCTGACAGGGAGTTGGCTAGAGAAGGGGGAGTGGGAAGAGGGCTCCAGGCAGATTGAGAAGCACATCCAGAGGGTTCCAAGAGCATGGCCCCAGGGAACCTTCAGGCAATGCAGGTGACTGAGTTCTCATTTGCTGGGGAAGGGCACAGACAGATCCTGGAGGTCCTGCTGGCCATCCTAAAGGGATGGTCTGCCCTGTAACACAAAGTTGCCAGATGATTTCAAGCCAAGGGTGAGTGTGGCCAGATTTGTTTTTGTCAGAGAATTCTGGCAGTGATGTGAATGTTGGCCAGTAGGGAGAGTAGAATAGGGAGGCCAAGCCAGGGAGGAAAGTGGAGGCCTGAACCAGGTGAGTGGCAGAGGCGATGGAACAGAGGGCACTGAGCCAAAAGGGCAAATGGGTTTGAGGTTTGGGAATAGGGGCTGGGGGGAATCTAGGGGCACTCTAGGACTTTGGTTTTGGGTGACAGTGCTGCCCAGTGAGATGAGAAAACTAGAGGAGAATGCGGCATGGAATGAGGTTTGAGACTCCCCTCCCCTTCTGTTAACAGCACCCCACTCACCTGGGGAGTCAAGGCTGCCTTTGGATCCTTTCCTCACTTCTCCTCCTCCCTTCTCTACCTTCTTTAGTTTCAATTGGTTATGATGACTTGACTTCAGAATCATAGTGGCTCTATACTCAGGTTTAGGGCTGGCCCAGGGTAATCTGGGGATCTGGGCCTGGACTTTCTGCAAAGCCAGGGAGGCCCTATATCAGATTGAACTAAGGAACACCTGAGCTTCTCTAGCCCCAAGAATCTTGACCAAGAGTGATATGGGACCCACTCTTGGGTTAGCCATGCCCAGTCTGAGCTCCTCTTGCCAGTTCACGGTCCCCTATACTGTGTCCACCTTCCTGCATAACCATCTTTCTGCCTTCCCTATTGTGGTTCCAGAGTGGAAGCCCAGCCTATTAGATGGGCTCCTATGTCTGGACCTGGACCTCTCCATGCCAAACCAGTACCAGCCTGGGTCCTAAGCAGACAATGGCAGCAACCTGGATTCTCTGCTTCTGCCCTGCCTGTGTCCAGAACTAGGACTGGCGTAGGAATATTCTGTCCTTAAGCGCTGTTTCTGGGTCATCTCTCCAAGGCCTTCTCTGCAGCCTCCTGCACCTCTGCAGCCTCCCTTGGGGCTGGCAAGTATCTCACTTGTGAGCACCATCCTTGGGATGTGTCCTTGTGGGGAAACTTGGTTCTCCTGCTCCGACCTCAAACAACGTTGGTACATCACATGAGAACTTATTAATGCATTCCACCATAGGTCCACTGTTAAATGGGCTCCTACACCTGGGTCTGGACCTCCCAATGCCAAATCAGTGACAGCCTAGCTCTCAAGAAGACAATGGTAGCAACTTGCATTCTCTGTTTAAGCTTCAATTCCATATTTTAAAACTTTCTTTGAACCCTCCTCAAAACCTCCTCCATTCAAATGCAACAATGAATCATACATTGAGTATTGTACTTTAGTAAGGAGAGAGTTTTTTGATTTGATAGTCTCCATATCCCTCACAACAACTTTGAAAAGGAGGTAGTATCAGGCTCTTTTATAAAGGAGACAACCAAAGCTCAGAGACATTAAATTAAGCACTCTACTTTTTTCAGCAAGTAGTAGAGATAGGGTGGGAGCACAGTCAGTCTGGTTGCACTACCCACATCCTTCCCATGGTGCTTCCGCAGTGTGTAGAGTCATAGCATGCCCACTTACTGGCCATCCTGGAAGCGCTTGTGCAGCACACTCGTCTGGCCTGCTTTCTGCAAAGCTTGAGAGGCCCTATATCAGATTGAACTAAGGAACACCTGAGCTTCTCTAGCCCCAAGAATCTTGACCAAGAGTGATATGGGACCCACTCTTGGGTTAGCCATGCCCAGACTGAGCTCCTCTTGCCAGTTCATGATCCCCTGTACCATGGTCCACTTTCCTGTATAACCATCTTTCTGCCTGATCATTCATCTGGTCGTTTGGCATTTGTCGAACACTACCTATGGGAGTGGCTTATGTCTCACAGGGATGAGTAAGCCATGGGGGAGGTTTCTATCATTTTAGTGAGTCAGGACCTGTCCATGTGTGATCCCAAGAAAGGGCAGAATGAAGCAAATGGAACAGAGTTCAGAGGGAAAGAGGGAAAAGAATGCTTTTTCCTGAAGGGAGGTGAAGATTGGGGGAAAAAGGCATTGAAGAATAAGGGTAGAGAAGCAGCTGCAGGGAATTCACACTTTGCTGAGGCAGGATGGCTGCTTGGGTGCAGGAGATAGAGTCTTGTACAAGGATGGGTAGGCACTGGGGCCAGGCCCTGTGGAGCCCCAAATGGCACGTGAAGATGCACATAGCAGGCCTGGGGAGCTGCTGAGCATTTCTAAGAAAGTCAGGAGTTTTTCTACGAATGGTGTCCTCCTCCTATTGCATTACCCCAATTTTAATGGTTCTTTAAGGCCTGGCTCAGGTTTTCCTCTTCCGGTAACCCCTCCTGGATTACTCAGCCTAAAGTTTCCCACCTCTTGGCTCTTGGCCCATTGACTAAACTGGCCACCTTTGTAGCTACTATGTGGTTTCGTATCATTCTTCAATTCTTTCATGAATTCAGAACAGAATCCTACTTTTGAGTCCAATCATACTTGCATGGTTTGGGGGGAGGTCCAGTAACTTATTCCAAGTCAAACTGCTGTTAGGGGTAGAGTTGGGCCAGGATCCCCATCCCTGCCTATCTTGCTAGTGCTCATCCCATGCCCCAGGCTGCCACTCAGCCTTTCTTACATTCTGTCCAGGACTTAAGGGCTTGGCATTCAGTGGACTGTCAATGGAAGTAGCTAGTATTTGCTTTTATTTCTGGTCAGCTCATGTCACCTCTCCTGAGCCCTTCCTTTCCCACCTCAGATGGGGTACGTATTCCCTCTTGGGTAGCATAGGAATGCTTCACTCTGAAGCCCTTGACCTTTCCACTATCCAACGGCTGGGAGTGGATGTGTAGCCGAAGTTCGCCTTGGTGTTCTTCTGGTTCATGGCTATTTCTGGTGCATGGCAACAATCACAAGAATTTCCTTTCA